ACCATGGCTTTTTTTACCATAAGGAAACTCAGTCATAAAAGCTTTTAGTAGACATCTTTTAAGGATAAACAGTATATCACCTTATTCCATTTTTTAAAGGGCAAAACAATTTCTCCCTTTCTAACTCTGGGGCTATTTATTCAGAAGTGACTCAGAGTGTTAAAAGTTCTCGCATCCTCTCTTTGGCCTGATGTCACTTTGCTGCAGCACTGTTTTTGCTGATTAATCCATCTTCCATTTGCACATAGACAATCTGACTCCTTCAACATCTGGATTCCCTCTGGGTGTGCAAACTTTGCTTGCTAACAACATTCCTTGCAACCGGCCCATCGGACTAAAGCCGCATACAGCTGCTGAAGCTATCAACATCTGCAGATCTAATGGCTTCTGAAAGGCAGACTGGTTTTTTGTTTTTTTGTTTTTGCTGGTCTTAATCTCTGCAAACTCCCTACTGTTTTACAAGACTCAGATGCAATTATTACAGTAGACTGGTTTCTTTGGAGAACTCATGTCCTTTAATTCAATAGAAAGGCAGTTAATCAAAATAAGCCGATCCCTGCTCTATCACTCTTTCCATTATAATGCAAGCGTATTTCCTGTTATGGTCCCTTACAAAATCACAGTGCAAATGAGAGAATGCAATTGTGCTTTCATGCCAAACAAAATAAGATCCCCTGAATCTGCTTAGTCATGTTTTTCGATTACACAAGAAGAAAAAAGCAGGGATTGTTTCAGCCCCCTGATCATCTGTTTTGCTGAAACTTTAACCTATCAAGTATTTCTCGGAGGAGAAATGCAAAGCCATAAACTTGATTAGGGAAGAGTTCATTCCTCTTCCCCATCCCCCACAAAACCACATTGTTTTCCTTCAAAAAGTTAAGCCAATTGACCAATGTTATATCCCCTAATATGAATTAGAATTCCTTTTCTTTGTCTCAAAACAAGCAATTAAAATGAGCATCCTGCACGTTAAAATGAACGTGACATGGCTGTATCCTTTTTTCTGTGGCTGTTCTGCTTTGCAAAGGCATGGAAGAAGTAGACTCCGCAAAGCTGTTAAGCAGATTGTCTTTAGTATAATACTTTGCCTTTATCTTTTCTGTATGTTGTGTCTTCCTGTTTTTAGATAGATAGATAGATAGATAGATAGATAGATAGATAGATAGATAGATAGATAGATAGATAGA